TTCTAGAAAATTCGATCGTCCTCGAGGATTCGATCCGAAGAACGAATCTTCAACAAATATAATTACTTATCATTTACATGTGTGTGTATGAATATATTTACTGAGCATTTACATGTGTGTGTATAAATATTTTTACTGAGTTTTCTAAATAAAACGTTACAATTTTTTATTTCTAAAAGTATAATTTTTAAAAAATAATGCTGCAAATAAAAGTTCCAGTATTTCAACAGAGATATACATACTTTGATGTTACAGAAATGTTTGTAGAAGACAATTTTCAATATCATTAATCAACTTGATTATATGATATTGATTAGGCTAATAATAAGTATTTATGTAAATTGATTCCTTGTAACATATTCTGCATACAGGGTAAAAGTCAATAATTGAACGGTTTACGAGATATTTTACATAATCTAACATATATATATATATATATATATAATAAATGCAATGTAGAAGAGAGAAAATAGACAGAGAGATAGAGACAGATAGATCGATAGATATTACAGATAAATAGATAGATAGACAGATAGACAGACATATAGATAGATAGATAGATAGGTACATTGATAGATATTTTGATAGATAGACGACAGATTGCTAAATAAATCGATATATATATATATATATATATATATATGTGTGTGTGTGTATACATATACAAGGTGTCCCAAAAAAATCGGAACACTGAAAAAAAAAAATTATATATACAATAGAAAGAATAGAGATGTAATAAATATGTACCGGGTGTTTCAATAAGCGTTACAAATTTTTATCGCTAAAAATGTTTGTAGAAAAAAATGTTTCACATAAAAATTTTAGTATCTCAAAGGAGGCATAATTGATGTCATAGAAATGTTTGTAAGAGGCAATTTTCAAGCTTATTTATTTAGTCAATTTAATTATTTTATATAAAATTATTCTAAGCGTTTACGTAAATAGATTTTTTGTAATATTCTGCATAAAAATATAAGGAAATGTAGCCAAGAATTGAACAGTTTCCCAGATATTTTACATAATCTGACATATTTTTGATATAAAATACAAAATATCTCGTAAAATATTTAGTTTTCAATGATCTTGCTTTTATGTATAAAATAATTAGACGAAACAATTGGTATAAACAACAAACATGTTGTCTTTACGAAAAATTATATATAGCTGCATGTAGCAAATTGTATATTTTTTTTTACTGTGTATCTTTTTTTATTTGTCTATAATTATTCTATACATAAAAGTATTATCGAACACTAAATACTTTATTTACGAAATATTTTTTATTTTTTATATCAAAATATGTTAGATTATGTAAAATATCTCGTAAACCGTTCAATTATTGACTTTTACCCTGTATGCAGAATATGTTACAAGGAATAAATTTACATAAATACTTAGACTAATCAATATAAAATAATCAAGTTGACTAATGATATTGAAAATTGCCTTCTACAAACATTTCTGTAACATCAAAGTATGTATATCTCTGTTGAAATACTGGAACTTTTATTTGCAGCATTATTTTCTAAAAATTATACTTTTAGAAATAAAAAATTGTAACGTTTTATTTAGAACACTTAGTAAATATATTTATACACACATGTGAATGCTCAGTAAATATATTCATACACACACATGTGAATGATAAGTAATTATATTGATAATTATATATAACTCGATAATGAAAAAATATTATATAATATTGGGCCCCTCCATCGCCCATTCCCGTGAGAACGCAGCTACAAAATGTTTTTTTTTCGTCTATCCGATTATAGCAAACGACACATTTGCATTGAAGCGTCTTTTTGCAACAATATGTATTGGAATATAACAAATTATTAATTTGATAAATTTTTATTATTTAGGAAAAGGCGACACTTTTTTGAATACTAACTTTAGAATCCATCGTATCTGAGAATAATTCCACCGATTTTTGAAAATCGATGGATTCATTGCTAGTATTCTTATATGTACTATTCCTAGAGCCATTTTCCTCTTGGCCTTCGGTTTTAGTTTTTATGAGTCTCCAATCTTTAAATTGGCACCCTATTTCTTGCATATGATTATTGAATGATCTCTGAAGTTCATTCCACATATGAGAAGAGTCGACAATGCGACGTCCTTGAGCGCATGCTTTCCTGGATACGGTTTATATCCAGAGGACTATTCTCCAGATAACAAAATGATTGTTATCTTCGCAAAGTTTGACATTTTTACTACACGTACCTGTATTTGAATTTGACTCCAGGCACTGCATCGTAGGTATTAACGATTGGATACTAACTTTAATAACCAGAACGCACATGCAAATTGTTCTGAGAGAAGATATTTTAGAAACAATTAGCAGGCAAATATATCGTCTCTGATATAAAATATCTTTTTTTAATAACCAGAACGCACATGCAAATCGTTCTGGGAGAAGATATTTTTAAAAGCAACTAGCAGACAAATATATCGTTTCTGGTATAAAATATCTTTTTTAATAACCAGAACGTACATGCAAATCGTTCTGGGAGAAGATATTTTTAAAAGCAACTAGTAGACGAATATATCGTTTCTGGTATAAAATATCTTTTTTTAATAACCAGAACGCACATGCAAATCATTCTGGGAAAAGATATTTTAGAAACAATAAACAGGCAAATATATCGTCTCTGATATAAAATATCTTTTTTTAATAACCAGAACGCACATGCAAATCATTCTGGGAAAAGATATTTTTAAAAGCAACTAGTAGACGAATTATCGTTTCTGGTATAAAATATCTTTTTTTAATAACCAAAACGCACATGCAAATCGTTCTGGGAGAAGATATTTTTAAAAGCAACTAGCAGACGAATATATCATTTCTGGTATAAAATATCTTTTTTTAATAACCAGAACGCACATGCAAATCGTTCGAGATTTTTCAGTGTTCCGATCTTTTTGGGACACCCTGTATATGTATATATACACATATATATATCGATTTATTTAGCAATCTGTCGTCTATCTATCGAAATATCTATCAATGTACCTATCTATCTATCTATCTATATGTCTGTCTATCTGTCTATCTATCTATTTATCTGTAATATCTATTGATCTATCTGTCTCTATCTCTCTGTCTATTTTCTCTCTTCTACATTGCATTCTTTCATACATGCACACATATATAATAATTTTTTTTAAATAATCTACATTGCCATAATAAAAATAATTAAATTTATAATCGAAAAATATATAAAAATTTTTTATGAATATAATTGATTATAAAGTTTTAGTGGATAATTTTTTGTAATAAATAAATGATTTATATGATTTATTCTCATCTAACTACTGCTCTGTTTTGATAATAATAGTGTTACTATCTATTCAATCTCCATAATACTCTTCAATCTCTAAAAATAAAATTTTATATAAATCATTTATTTATTACAAAGAATTATTTACTTTATAATCAATTATAAAAGATAGGCCTGTTTCTACACATACACACACACACACATATAACTTATTAGCTAGAATGTGGACAAAAAAATTTTTACACCCTAATCTACATATATACATACATATATATATATATATATATATATATATATATATATATTTCTCTATAAAGATTTTCTACGTATACATAAGCATACATACATACATACATACATATATACATGCATGCATATAAAGAAATTACTAACCTTTTCATCCAGCCTTTCTTGAAGGAAACTCTATGTTGACAAAGAGGCAGACGTTTTGCGTTATATTATTCTATGTATGAGAGAGACGAAGATAATATGACTGTCTGTCCTTGTCTAACTGTGTGGCGTTACTGTGACTTTACTGTAGCATTTTTAAGTCTACACTTACACCACATATACACTTACACCTTATACGTTTTCACACCATTTCGTTGCTATGTTACAGACCATTTGTTTATTATTAGAAGATTTCAATTATTCTTATCACACATTTTATTGTATTTACATGAATTAATAAAAGCTCTCCAAAAAGTTATAATTTGTAAAAAAGTTACTACATTTTGGTGACCCCGACGTGATAAGTGATCAACACAGGAATATTCTCTTGAGCGGGAAATTCAATTTCTGAATTTTGGAAAGATTTCTATACGTTGTCAAGAATCTTCGGACTTTGATTTCCGGATCATTTCCTATCGTCGTTGGAATAACAACCGAGATGCCTTTAGATAGATCTCCTCCTAGATCTGAGACAACTTACTCTACTGTTCCGTCTACTTCAACTGCTTTGACATCTTCGACAGAGAACATTTTAAATCAGGTGGGATCGGAAATTTTAAATTCACCCTCTGGAAATATGCAACAGCAGTCTGGTGAGTCCATTCAGATCCATTCTAATGAATTTCGTCTTGTAAAACTTCCTACATTCTGGCATAAACAACCTAAATTGTAGTTTGCTCAAGTTGAAAGCGAATTTTTTATATTTCGTATACGTTCCGAGGAAATAAAATATAATACCGTTATTCGTCATCTCGATGAAAAGGCATTAATTGTCGTTTCGGAAATTGTTGAAAATCCGCCCGAAAACGATAAATATAACGCTTTAAAATCGGCGCTCATTAACCGCTTCACGGATTCAGAAGAAAAACGGTTACGTCAATTATTAGCCGGAATTGAATTGAATGACAAAAAACCAACGGAGTTGTTACGTGAGATACGCCAATTATCCGGTGGATCTTTAGCGGATAATATATTACATTCACTTTGGCTTCAACGTTTGCCATACAAAGTTCAAGCGACATTAGCTGTTGTTGAGGACGTACCTTTAATCAAGCTAGCTGAACTCGCGGATAAAATAGTCGAACGTGATACCGGATATCAAATAACCGAAGTAAACACTTCTTTAAAATCAAAACAATCGGATCTTGCCGATTTAGAGAAAAGAATTGCTGCGCTGGAAGTTTTTCGTCGTCGCGGTAGATCTTTTAGTCGATCTCAAAGTAAAACAAGATTAAGATCTAATTCAAGAGATAAAAAGTCGGATTCTAAGGAACAAATTTGTTTTTATCACAAGAAATTTGGAGATAAAGCAAAGAAATGTACAATTCCTTGTACAATGTCAAAAACTCTCTGTCTTACTGATTTAACGGAAAACTAGAGATACCGTTAAAGATAGAGGCAACTCACAACGGTTTACCTTGTCATCGCCTCGTTATTTTTGACAAGTCGTCTAATTTACAATTTCTTGTTGACACTGATGCTGACATTTCTTTGCTTCCCAAGAAAATATTATACAAACCGTTATCAACCAATTTAAAACTTTTTGCTGCCAACGGAACACACATTGATACTTATGGATCTAAAACTCTTTCCGTGGATCTTGGTCTCAGGAGAATTTTCCGTTGGAAATTTTGCGTGGCGGACATACAACGTCCCATTTTAGGCGCAGATTTCCTCGGACATTTTAATCTCCTTGTAGATGTAAAAAACAAACGTCTAATTGATTCCTTAACAGGTCTTAAAAATTGTGGAAGGATACAAGAAGTTTTGCAGTTATCAGTTTGTACCACATCTCCAGATTCTTCTTTTCACAAGATTTTAGCAGAATTTCAAAGACTTACTCATTTTGCCCTTCTTTCATCGGTAAACTCACATGAAATTGAACATCGGTTTGTTACGGAAGGTCCTCCGAAATTTGCAATTCCCAGAAGACTTTCTCCGGAAAAACTGAAGTATGCCAAAGAAGAATTTAAATTCATGATGGACCAAGGTATTTGTAGACCATCATGCAGTACGTGGGCAGCACCTTTGCATATGGTTCCAAAAAAGGAAAATGTATGGAGACTTTGTGGAGATTATTGTGCGTTAAATTCCGTCACTGTTCCTGATCGATATCCATTGCCTCACATACAGGATTTCACTGCGGAGCTCTACGGTAAGAATATCTTTTCTAAAATTGATCTTGTTAAAGCGTACTATCAAGTACCCGTTGCAAAGGAAGATATTTCTAAGACCGCTGTAACTACACCTTTTGGACTTTTCGAATTTTTGGTTATGCCTTTTGGTCTTCGTAACGCAGCTCAAACATTTCAGAGGTTTATGAATATATTGTTAAATAATTTAGATTTTGCATTTTGCTATCTTGACAATATTCTCATAGCTTCTAGAGATGAGTCAGAACACATCACTCATTTGCGGATTGTTTTTGATCGTCTACAGAAAGCTGGAATGTCACTTAATGTATCCAAATGTCTTTTTGATCAAAAAGAAATTACTTTCCTCGGATATCTTGTCTCTAGTCAAGGAATCAAACCTACAGAACAAAAAGTCAAATCAATTATTGACTATCCCAAACCTAAGACAATACATGATTTAAGAAGATTTATTGGCATTATTAATTATTATCGTCGTTGCCTTAAAAACGCAGCTGAACATCAAGCATTACTTACAAACTTTTTGAAGGACAGTCGCAAGAGAGATAGGAAAACTATTCCTTGGTCTATGGAGACAGAAGCAGCTTTTCAGAATTGCAAAGAAGAACTTCTCCGTGTGACTACCCTCTCTCATCCTGCTCCTCAAGTTCCTTTGATTCTTACTTGTGATGCTTCTGATTTCGCTGTAGGAGCATCACTTGAACAAACAATTGAAAATGTCAATAAACCAAGTGCATTCTTTTCTAAAAAGCTTGATAAAACTCAAAAGAACTACAGTACTTATGATAGAGAACTTTTAAGCATTTATTTAGCAATTAAATATTTCAGATATTTGCTTGAGGGACGACAACTCATTATTAGGACAGATCACAAACCTTTAATTTATGCTTTTCTTCAGAAACCTGACAAAGCTTCACCTAGACAAATTAGGCAACTGGATCTTATTGCTCAATTCTCTACTAATATTGTCCACATTTCAGGCAAGTTAAATTCTGTAGCTGATGCTTTATCAAGAATTGAGTCAGTTTCAATGCCAATCATTGTCTCTCTGGAAGAATTTCAAAAGGATGATGAAGAACTTCAAGATCTCCTTTCTTTGAACTCTTCACTCCAACTAAGGAAACTTATGCTTACTGGCTCATCTGTACCTATATATTGTGACTGTTCCTCTGAGTTAATTCGTCCATACGTTCCTAAATCTCTTCGTAAGCGAGTTTTTGATGTAGTACATGGCCTCGCACATCCCAGTGGAAGATCTACAGCTAAACAACTTCTACAGAAATTTATTTGGCCGTCATTGAATAAAGACGTTAAAGAGTGGACTCGCACTTGTCTACCTTGTCAACGTTCCAAAATTTCAAGACATACAAAAAATGTCCCTGTTAAAATCGCGGTTCCTGATCAGCGTTTTCAACATGCACATTTAGATTTAATAGGCCCTCTTCCTTCTTGTCAAGATTTCCATTATTGCTTAACAATAATAGATCGTTTCTCGAGGTGGCCTGAAGCTATTCCACTTAAAGAAATAACTGCTGAAACAGTTTCGACAGCTTTCTATTCTCATTGGGTAGCTAGATATGGATCTCCTATAACTATTACTACAGATCAAGGCCCACAATTTGAAGCATCTCTCTTTAAAGCATTAACTAATTTGATTAGATGTGATCGCAAGAGAACTTCTGCTTATCATCCAGCTACAAACGGAATTTTGGAAAGATGGAATAGGACTGTCAAGACTGCAATTATGTGTCATCAGACAAAGAATTGGTTGGAATCTTTACCTACTGTTCTTCTTGGTCTTCGTTCGTGCTTCAAAGAAGACTTGAAAACTTCACCTGCTGAATTACTCTATGGAACTACTCTTCGGATTCCTGGTGAATTCTTTATTGAGGAAGATTTTCCAGCAGATCCTGAAATATTTTTAGAGAAACATAGAATACATATGAGGAATATTAGATCTTCTCCTACCCATCATCACACCAAAAAATCACCTTTTGTACACAAAAATCTTTACGATTGTACTCACGTATGGCTTCGTGAAGATGCTGTGAAGAAATCTCTTCAATCACCATATTCTGGTCCTTTTCTTGTTAACAAACGAATTTCTGATTTTTTGTTTACTATTGACATTTCAGGAAAATTAGTCAACGTCTCAACGGAACGTCTGAAACCAGCCTTTTTTCCCAAGGAAGATTCTTCTGTTCTTCTTTCATCCTCTTCGAGAACTTTATCTACATCTACAACCACATCAGTTGTACCATCAGTTGTGCCTGCAGTTCCTACAACCACATCAGTCATTCCTGCATCTACTATTTTACCAGATTACCCTAGTACTTCTTCTACTGCTTCTTTCGGAAAATCATTACAAACTTACCCAGCTAAGAAGAAAGTCCATTTCGCAACGTAGTCGTCGCTTGGGGGGGAGTACTGTGGCGTTACTGTGACTTTACTGTAGCATTTTTAAGTCTACACTTACACCACATATACACTTACACCTTATACGTTTTCACACCATTTCGTTGCTATGTTACAGACCATTTGTTTATTATTAGAAGATTTCAATTATTCTTATCACACATTTTATTGTATTTACATGAATTAATAAAAGCTCTCCAAAAAGTTATAATTTGTAAAAAAGTTACTACAACTGCACAATTGCAGCTCCATCTATCGCGACATCGCGCAACTATTTTTCTGCTCTGTATTATTCCCAAATGTCATTTCGCACATACACATGTGAATGAAATATTCCACAACCGAGATCTTTTTTATTAGACTTCTAAACTTATTTCTGCAAGCTCACTAATATTCCTTTATGCAATCTTTTGTAGGAAGCTGTCTTATTTTGTACGTATAAATTGTAAAACTTTTATACAAGCAAATATTGTTATGACGTGACGCGAGAAGCCAAAAAAAAACTCGTATTTAAAAATTTTTTGTCTTTTTATCACAAATTCAGACCGCTTCCTCCTTTATTATTGTATTAACTTTAATCGTGGAAAAGCATTTGTTATTCTATTAACGCAATAGAAACTTTTTGGTTGTGGCAAATATAATCAGTTCGGCCGGTAAAAGTAGACCTTTGACATCCCCTTAATAGTGAAAAAGTGAGGTGCATTCATTTAATCATCCCGATTCAAGCCCTGACGCCCCGGATCCTCATCCTAATTTGGCGCGACGTATTGTGCCTTACCCGAGGCACACAACAAAATTGGTGGCAGCGGTGGGATTGCGCCGAAGGACCGTTAGGAACTACTCGGAAGAAAACCTGAAAAATACAGCAGTATTAATAATCAGGCACGTCGAAAATAATAATCAACGGAAAGCGGACAACACAGAAGGCATCAAATAAGACCTGTAACATATACGCGCATATAAGGAAACAGGCACGTCAGCTAGATAAATCAGCCGACGTATAAGCAGTAGCGTGCCGTACGTGCAAGACTACACACATACACGGACAACGCATCAGCGGACGTGAAATAGGCCACCACCTAAGGACGCGACCTACGACAACACGGACAACGCATCGCACCGTACAGCGACCCGTAAAATCACCTTACAACGCCGGACCGCCAGCCGTATCAACACCGCCGAGCGATGATCTGCAGCGTCAGCAAGCGAACGATAAATATGCTAGCCGTATTAATGTAAGTCCGAATAGAATTTTATATATATATATACACTTGCGTGAATGTCGGAGGAAAGCGAAACACCCCGACAAGCGTTAGTGAATAAATCGTAGTTACATAGCGACTCAGCCAACAATCAATCAGAGCACTACCGTTAACTTTAGAAAACCTCGAAAAAATGCGAATAAAATTAGAAGCACATTATTCGGGTGAGAGCGACTCATTATTTATTCACGGGAAAATCGAACACAAATTTCCGTTTGATACTTTCGACAAAAGCCTATTTGCAAAAGAAGAAATTGACGCCGATATAAAAGTAAGAAAAGAAATTAAAGTACGCGTAAGTCGAACTCCTAGTAACGTGTCGCAATGCGGAGAATTCTCGCTTACGTCCTACGACAACAGCATTTTTGATCCTAACGAATATCAGGACGACATGTCGCAAACACCGTCAAACGGTGCCATGAATGTATCCGAAGGTGCTGTTGACCGTGAAATCAACCGCCTTCGTGAGGCTGTAACACGCGGCCATGAACAATTCGTGGAAGTCGACGTGCATAGATCACCTGATAATCGCGGGATAGACGCAGATAGTCCTCTATTGCGCGAGTTAATACAGGGTATGCGCGAAATACAAACAGATGTGCAGGCGGAAATAGATGCAATGCGCGAGGAAACGCGTAGAGAAATACGTGCGTCATTGTCTCGCGGAGAGGAATCAGACGACAGCCGTCAAGAATTCCACAGGCGTACGTACGACCGAAACATGATACCGTATCGCGATAATCCAAGAAATTCCAGCGAATACATTAGCGACAGGGACATAATCGTAAGGTACGATAGTCGACAGAACATACGCGACAATATACGCTATCAAGACACGGATAGATATCGATATGGTAGGGATGCGAACGATAGGTACGACAATCGATGCGACTCGCGAGACTGCTCACGCGACCGAGACCTGGATAGACGACAGAGTCATCGACGTGATCTACGAGAAGACACTCACGAACAAGGATCAGAAGATGAACAAGTATCTCGCAACGAAAACCGGAACAGACGTGAGGAAGAGAAATACGACATCGCATACGGACGCAGCGAGTACGACGTAAGAAACCGTAGAAATATACGCGGAAGACACATGACGCTAAAGGAAGCAAGAGAACTTATACCCACTTTCCACGGCAAGTCACAGCGCGAACTCAATGAATTTCTAAATGCATGTACGTACGCTATCAATTATATAGACAGACGCAACAAGGACAGTTTAGTTTGGAGCATCCTTAGCACAAAAATCAAGGGAAAAGCTTGGCTTGATTGCAAAACGCGAGATATACAAACTTACGAGGAATTAAAAAGGCAATTAAAATCAACATATCAAAGCAAGCATACGACTACTTATTTACAAATTGAATTTAATTCCCTTAAACAAAAAGCAAACGAAGTCTCACAAGCCTTCGGAATTCGCGTCGAGACTACTGCGATGGAGCTCTATGAATCAATGATCGAGGAACGAGCGTGCTCCACGACGGAAAAACGCGTTATCATCGAGACGATACAAGGTCAGACGTTACATAACTTCTAGACAAGACTACGCGAAGAAATACAAACCATTGTTAGGTCACGGGATTATCGTACATTGAAGGATGCTATCAACGCAGCAATAACAAAAGAAAAGGTCAGGAACGCCAATGCGACCCGATCAACTAAAAATAACCAACGGGATATAAAGTCGTCATCGCGAGATATCGGAAAAATTACTTGTTACAAATGTGGAAAACCAGGCCACATCGGGCGAGAATGCCATAGCAGTAAATACGCGCTTCCGAAACCGGAGAAGTCAGATCGTGTAACTACAGTAGAACAATTTTGCAATTACTGCAAAAAACGCGGACACAGCCGTGAAGAATGCCGAAATTTAAATAGGTCGAAAAATAAACGCTGGGAAAAAAACGAAAAAACAACGCTAAAATAATAGATAGAATCGGAAGACAACCGGAAAAAGAGTAGGTCACGAAAAAACGAATCTGAGGACGAACGCGATAGCAACGAGGGAGACTCGGAAGGAGAGACCCCGATACGCGCAATCGAGTATCGCGTATCACACATACGACCAACACTACAAGAGACTACAGGTTTGGATTTAATTACACTACCAATGCGCGAAGCTCAGAATGGCACACTTAAAATGCTATTCGATTCAGGGGCCACTATTTCATTAATAAAACTTAAATATCTAAAAGACGACGCACTAATACATAGAGGAAAAATAACACTCATTGGCATTACGGGACACAAAGCGCAGACAATAGGAAAGACTCATGCGACAATTGACATAGGAAATCGGAAAATAAAGCACACAATCTACGTCGTCAAGGACGATTTTCTTATGGAATACGAAGGAATTCTCGGGATAGATTTTTTGCGGAAACAGGGAGTTAACTGCAATTTTAAAAACGGGAACTTACCATAGGAGACGCCGTGTTAAATTTACAACCGTATGAGAAGATCCGATTACAGCCGCGCAGCGAAACGATTATCCGAGCCGCCACAAATAAAAATAGCGTAGGAATTGTAAGAGCCGAACAAACTGCACCCGGTGTCTATATAGGACGATGCCTCGTGCAACCGAAGAACTACGTGTGCCCAATTAGCGTCAATCATAAATACAACTGACAAAATTGTCGAATTACGAACATCATTAATAATTATAGATGAAATAAATAAGGAAATAACGCGCAAAATAAACGTCATACAAACAGAAATCCCGAAATATTCGAGCAAAAAAAATCGGGAAATATGACAATCATTAACAAAACCACCGAGGGCTACTTAGGGAAAGGTTAAGTTGAGTTCGAAATTATTCATCGAAAAGGACAATCTCACGAGAATGCCGATGGATTATCCAGGCGGTCATGTGAGGCTTTCGGATGCGAATACTGCGCTAAAATTGAGACGAAAAACGCAGAAGAAAGAGAGAAAATGGTCGCTCGCATTATGCTTGTAGGAGAAGATCTGGAAGAGTGGCGTCGTGCTTAGCAAAAAGATCCAAGCATTTCATTTATTATACGAAGAAAAGAAACAGGAAAACGATCATTGCATTCGGAAGTTCCTACCAAGAATATTTCGGCTCAGATTTATTGGTCTTATTGGGATTCTCTCGTTCTAAAAAATGGAATTTTCTATAAGAAATGGGAAGCCCCAAATTTTCAAACTAGTTTCCTTTAATTAATAGTTCCTCAAGATCGGATCAAAGAGATTTTACAGGAAACTCATAATTCTCTGTCCGGGGGACATTTCCATTGACTAAGTCAGGGAATAAATATTTTCTTGTAATGGTGGATTGTTTCACAAAATGGGTGGAAGCTTTCCCTATCAAGAATATTAGAGCCAAGACTGTGGCTGAAATTTTTGTGAGTCAGTTTGTTTCAAGGCATGGAGTGCCTATTCAGATTCACACAGATCAGGGAAAGAATTTCGAGTCTCAGTTATTTGGAGAATTAATGCGACTTCTTGGGATCAAAAAGACAAGAACTACTGCTCTTCATCCTCAATCGGATGGCCAGGTGGAACGTCAACATTAGACAATTATCAATTACTTGGCGAAATACATTTCTGAAAATCAGAAAGATTGGGATGAATGGATTCCTATGTTTCTCTTGGCATATAGATCGTCAAAACATGAGACTACAGGAGTGACTCCTGCCGAGTTGTACTTTGCTCGAGAACTTAGGCTACTAGTAGACTTGTTACAAGAAAGTCCTAAAATTGATGAAGAGAAATTGCCTCCAAAGAATTTTGTGGATAATTTAAAGGAAAGATTAGAAGAAATTCGTTCTTGTGTTAGGGAACGTATGGCTTTAAAGTCTTCGCAAATGAAAGTCAGATATGATAGGAAAGTTAGAACTATTCTTTTCGAGGAGGGAGAGAGAGTCTGGCTATATAATCCCAAAAGAAGTAAAGAAAAGGCCCAG